GGGTACTGTCCGAGGGAGGCCAGGAGCCCTGTGGGCTGTGGCAGGTGGACAGGGACCCCACTTTCCTAAACACATAGGGCGTGCGAGTGAGGGTGGAGTCATCAAAAATTGCCTTCCTGGAAGGACACTAGGGGTACCCCTGTGGAGGGGGCGCCATAAGGCAGTGGGCTGTGGTCCCAAGGGGACGGTGGGAGGCCCTAGGGACCCCTGGCCCCTCGGGGCAAGGCTGATTCTGAGATGGGGAGCCTGCCAAGCTTTGCCTCCTGTTTCTCTTCCCTACCCCCACTCCCAAGCTCACCCACGTTGGGTCTGAGTAGATTTGGGGGCTGGGTGGGAGCAGCCAGGGGGATGGTGGAGACCCAGCATCTCTCCCAGAGGAAGGGCAGTGGTGGCCTGGGACTGACGCCTTCCTCTCTCTGTCTGGTACCTGGAGAGCAATCCTGGGCCCAGGAAGAAACAACTTGCTGCTCTTCTGTCCTCCAGTCTCTGGGGTCCCCCTGTCACTCCTGCTCTGCTCTGTCCTGTGGCCTTTGGCCTTTGGCCTTCAGCCGCTCTGGCTCTAGATTGGGGGTGGGGGTGAGGGCTCCTGTCTGCACACTCCTCTTCCCCTACACCACTGTCCCACAACCATCTCTCCCACCTGGAAGTCCTTTCTGAGATCTACCATGAATCTCTCATGTTAGAAAAGAACCATCTTTCAACAGGTAATTTTACATTCTCCTCATGCACCCAGACCTTCTGTGGGGTAGGGAGCTGGGTAATTTGCAGTCAAGCCTCTTGACAGAATTAGCAAGATAGAGCTCTATGCCTCACTGACATCGGTGTCCCCCAGATGGGACAGAGCAGTGTGTGTGTGGGGGGGGGAAGGGGACTGTTGTAGTTGGGTTGCTGCTTCTCAGGGGGTATGCTAGCATCAAGCACAGTGTCAGTGACACATTCTTGTCTTTAATGGTCCCTGTATGTAGCTGATAAAGGCCTGGGTCCCTGTTGAGAAGGAGGGTAGGGAAGGGTGCTGGTGGTGGAGATGTGGGCAGAGAGCAGTGGAAGCTGATGTGGCAAGAGGCTGATG